GCCTGGCGTGCTGCAATTCATGGGGTCGCAAAGAGTCAGACACAACTGAGCGACTGAATTGAACTGAACTGTTGGGGTTCTCAAGACAAGAATACTAAGTGGCTTGCCAGTCCCTTCTCCAGTGGACCACATTTTGTCAGAACTCTCCACCATGACCTGTCCATCTTGGGTGGCCCCACACAGCATGGCTCATAGTTTCATTGAGTTAGACAAGGCTGTGGTCAATGTGATCAGATTGGCTAGTTTTCTGTGACTGTAGCTTTCAGTCTGTCTGCTCTCTGAGAGAGAAGGACAAGAGGCTTATGGAAGCTTCCTGATGAAAGAGACTAACTGAGGGGGATACTGGGCCTTGATCTGATGGGTGGGGCCATGCTCAGTAAATCTTTAATCCAATTTTCTGTTGAAGGGGCTGTGTTCCTTCCCTGTTTTTTGACCTGAGGCCAAACTATGGTGGATAGTGGCATGAAGATAATGGCGACCTCCTTCAAAATGTCCCATGCATGCACTGCTACACTCAGTGCCCCCAACCCTGCAGCAGGCCACTGCCGACCCATACCTCTGCTAGAGACTCTCGGACACTCACCGGCAAGTCTGGGTCAGTTTCTTATGGGGTCACTGCTCCTTTCTTTTGGGTCCTGGTATGCACCAGGTTCTGTTTGTGCCCTCCAAGAGTCTGTTTCCCCAGTCCTATGTAAGTTCTGGTGGCTCTATGTTGGGTTAATGATAGCCTCCTCCAAGAAGAATTATGACATACCCAGGTCTCCTGCACCCAGAGCCCCTGCCCCCACAGCAGTCCACTGCTGACCGTACCTCTTCAGGAGATACACAAACACAGTTCTGTCTCAGTCTCTGTGGGGTCTCTGCATTCTGGTGTGCACAAGGTTTGTTTGAACCCTCTAAGCGTCTCTGGCAGGTACAGGGTTTGATTCTAAATACAATTTCGCCCCTCCTACTGTCCTGCTGGGCTTCTCCTTTGCCCTTGGATGTGGGGTAGCTCCTCACAGCTGCTCCAGTCCCATGCGGTTGCTGCTCCAGCACCACTGAGTATAGCAATAATTTATTGTTATTGTTATATAATGTTCCATTATATGAATATATCAAATATAGGACATTTGTTTACCTATTCTACTGTTAGTAGATATTCTGGCTTTATCTAATTTTTTGTTATTATGATAAAGCCACCACAAACATTTCTGTCCATGTCTTTGTGTAGGTGAGTGCTCTCATTTCTCTTGGGGACATATCTAGAAGAGGACATGCTGGGTCATAGCACATAGAATTCTAGCTGCAAATGCATCTGGGAAATGATGGCTTAATTTCCAGCATCTCTAGTACAAGCATATATGCCAGGTGGTTTAAAGATAATCTTGGATGAGCCATTATGCAGATTCTTTACAGAAATTAGAGAGTAGGCTAGGAAACATAATAAAAAAGATAAACTAGGGCTACTTTGGAGACCTAGATGACAGAAACCAACTCATATTTCTTGTAAAGATATTGCTCTTCCCTTTCATGTCATTGTTTAGTTGCTAAGTCTTGTTTGACCCTTCTGAGACACCATGGACTGTAGCCTGCCAGGCTCCCTCTGTCCATGGGATTTTCCAGGCAAGAATACTGGAGTGGGTTGCCATTTCCTTCTTTAGGGAATCTTCCGGACCCAGGGATCGAATCTGTGTCTCCTGCATCTTCTGCTTGGCAGGTGGATTCCTTACCACTGAGCCAACAGGGAAGTCTACAGAGTTTAAAAAGTAAGGAATGATAGTTTGAATATCCAAGTTACTTTTCACACATTCTTCCTGAGAACCATGAACTATAAGAGTCAGACAAAGGAAACTTAGTGGTGGTGGTTTAGTCTCTAAGTCGTGTCTGACTCTTGTGACCCCATGAACTATACCCCTCTGTAGCCAGGCTCCTCTGTCCATGGGATTTCCCAGGTAAGAATATTGGAGTGGGTAATCATTTCCTTCCCCAGGGGATCTTCCTGATCCAGGGATCAAACCCATGTCTCCTTCATTGCAGGCAGATTCTCTACTGCTGAACCACCAGGGAAGTCCCAAAAAGACTTAAGAGAAGTATTTTAAGAAACAAGGTATAATGTAGTGTAATTTACATACAGTAAACTCACCTTTCTAAGGTACAGAACACTGTTAGCAAGATATAAAAGATCTCCAGACCAAAAAAAAAAGAAAGAAAGAAAAAAAATCCAATTTTAAAAATATACAAAAGAAAAGAAAAAGAACACGAAATATTTCCTTTGTTCCAAAAATTTCCATAATGTCCCTTTCTTCATCCCTAGCTCCAACCCCAACCCTTGGCAACCACTGGTTTAATTTCTGTCCCTATTGTTGTTGCTGTCCAGTCACTCAGTTGTGTCCGACTCATTGAGACCCCATGGACAGCAGCATACTAGGCTTCCCTGTCCTTCACTCTCTCCCAGAGTTTGCTCAAACTCATGTCCATTGAGTTGATGATGCCATCCTTAACCATCTCATCCTCTGTCACCCCCTTTTCCTCCTGCCCTCAATCTTTCCCAGCCTCAGGGTCTTTTCTAATGAGTTAGCTCTTTGCATCAGCGTCAGTTCTTCCAATGAATATTCAGGGTTGATTTCCTTTATGATTGACTGGTTTCATCTCTTTGCTGTCCAAGGGACTCTCAAGAGTCTTCTCCAGCACCACAGTTTGAAAGCATCAGTTCTTTGGTGGTCAGCTTTCTTTATGGTCCAACTCTCACATCCGCATATGACTACTATAGTTTTTGCTTTGCCAGAATGTTCTATAAATGCAAATATATAGTATATAGTTTTCAAGTCTGACTTCTTTCATTTAACCAAGAGATAATTTTTATCAATGAATTTCAATCTCTTTTCCCCTTCCACTAAGAACATTTTTTCTTCAAACAAACTTTCATGCAGGAACTTTACATCTGAGATGCATAGAAGTAGATCGCTTTCATGAGTCCATGGCTCCCTCTGATGAAGGACACCCCAATTTGCTCATGGAATTGTATTTATCCTTTGTATCTCAGTTACAATTCCTTTAGAACCTCTGTGATTTTTCAAAGTAGGTTTCTTGTTGCAGGCATGTTCATGGGGCATTTCCAAAGGAGGAAGACATAGCCTGGGAAAACTATCAGAAATGCTAAATGATTCCTAGTCCTCAAATTTTTGTTAAATTAGGGATTACTTACTTTATTAATTGATTTTCTTGCTAAAAATGTTCAATTTAGTTCCACTAGGTGCCAGTTGCCATTTCTTACATCTTTTAAAACCTGCTTCTTATAAATATCACTGTTAACCATTAAAATGGCAACTGTCCAGATATCACTCTATCCAAACAAACCTGAAGGGAAGCCTCTTGAAGATGTGGGTGGCTTCTAGAGCTGTGCTGTCCAAAGTAGTGATCATCAGCCACATGAGGCTACCACAGAGCACCTGAAAAGTAGCGAGTTTAAATTAACATGGGGGAAAGGGAAGGCGGGACAAATTGAGAGAGTAGAATGCAAACATATGCACTATCATGTGTAAAATAGATAGCCACTGGGAATTTGCTGTATGATGCAGGGAGTTCAATCTGGTACTCTGTGACAGCCTAGAGGGGCGGGGTGGGGTGGGTGGTGGGAGGGAAGTTCAAGAGGGAGGGGACATATGTATACTGATGGCTGATTCATGTTGATGTGTGGCAGAAACCACCATAATATTGTAAAGCAATTATCCTCCAATTAAAAATAAGTTGAAAAAAGGATGTGCTTAAAGTATAAGGTACACAACTGATTTAGTAGAGTCAGTTAAAAAAAAAAAGAATGTAAAAATATCTCCTTAACAATTTTTTTATTATTTGGGACTTCCCTGGTGGCCCAGTGGTTAAGATTTTGCACTTTGAATGCAGGGGGCATGGGTTCCATCACTGGTTGAGGAACTAAGATCCTGCATCCTGCATGCCACGTGGCACAGCCAAAAAAGAAAAAAAAAAATCCAAGCCAATTTTTATATCAATTGAAATGCTATCTTAATGCTATTGAGTTAAGGTATATTATTAAAATTAATTTCTGGTTTTAAGGTATGACTATGAGGCAATTTAAAATCACAGGTATAGGGACCTCTCTGGTGGTTCAGTGGCTAAAGCACTTCCAATGCAGGGGGCCTAGGTTCGATTCCTGGCCAAGGAACTAGATCTTACATGCCGCAACCAAAGGATCCTGCATGATGCAACAAAGACCCTGTACAGCCAAATAAATAAATAAATATAAAGTAAAATCAAATCAGATCACATGTGTAGCTCCTATTTACAGCTTGGGTTATATTGCTATGGGACATTGCTGACTAGACATTTTGCTAATTCTTCCCAAGAAAGACCCCAAATATGGACCTCTCCAGTCTGGATCTCAGAGATCAAAGGTGACCCAAGCTGCTTCCATCTCTTTTAAATTCGTAGTAAATTTTTAAAAATGAGAAGTGCCAAAGGTAGGGTTACACAAACGGTTTTATATTTTTCTAGTGGCTTTTTAGCCCTCCAGGCTCCTCTGTCAGTGGAATTTCCAAGGCAAGAATACAGGAGTGGGTTGCTATTTCTTTCTTCAGGGAAGCTTCCCAATCCAGGGATCAAACCAAGACTCCTGCATTGGCAGGCAGATTCTTTCGCTTTTAATGTAAAATACATTGCAATGTGGGCTTCCCTGGTGGTTCATATGGTAAAGAATCTGCTCACAATGTGGTAGACCTGGATTCGACCCCTGGGTTGGGAAGATCCTCTCAAGGAGAGCATGGCAACCTACTTCAGTATTCTTGCCTGGAGAATCCCCATGGTCAGAGGAGCCTAGTGGGCTGCAGTCCGTGGGTTAGTAAAGAATCGGACATGACTGAGTGGCTAACCACACACACATTGCAATGTAATGAACTGTACCAGCCATAAGACAAATATAAGGTCTATAAAGAGGAGAGCAATTAGGGTAATGTGGTCCATTATAGAGGACAATTTGAAAGTTAGTAAAGGAACTTTCCATCTCTTGATTTGCTTTTGTAATTTGTATGTATATTCTTATTTGGAGATAACTTTACAAGTCTAAATTGGAGGTCTTTAGTGAATGTGCGACCTGGGCCCATGGTCTAACTGCCACCACCCACTGCACCCCCAGGGGTTGTCTTTCATCTTACACACCTGCAACTTGCACCTTCTATGTGCCAGGCTCTCTCTCCTACACTTTACAACGTTACTTTGAATACTTACAACAACCTGCAAAAAAGGTGCCATGGTTAGAGAATGAAAGGATGACTGCTAAGTCTACCCTAAACTCCTCTCAGCAATAATGTCCTTTGAGGGGTGGGGTGATGGATATTTGGGACAGAAAAGATAATTAATAAAAGAGGAAAACATTGATGAGAAATGAATCCCCTGTTTTTTGTCTACATACAACTAAGCAATTCTCACTAATTTGGCATCCAGACGAAACTAGAAAACTCTTTTTCAGGAACCAATTGTTTGCCTCTGTGTATGCTAGACTGCTCCAAACTAGAGGCATTTAAAAAATTATTATCTGGAGAAGCAGGAGGAAAGCTATAGCTGGGGCCTTCCATGAGAGTGCCACCTCTTCACTGCAAATTACTCACTTCTAACCCTGCATTAGGCGGACGCTGCTTTGCCAACTGCCTTCTCAGGCTCTTATTCTCCTCCATGTATATGCCCCTTATGCCTGTAAAGTTGGGTTTTGTTTTGTGACTGTGTAAATCAGAGCCTGGAGAGTTTCTTTTTTCTCTGTGGCTGGAATCACAGTGAGACATTCTCCACAATCCAGCATTTGATACACTTCGGCACTGTGTGGGCAGAAAACAGGGCAGAGGGAACTCTTAAATACACTTTTCACCTGGTTTAAACAAGAGCTTTGATTTCCTCTTTCTTTTAATCCTTATGAGGCTTGAAGTAAAAACAGAATTCAAAGAGTTTTTTATTTTAAAAAAAAACTGTAATAAGATGTTTGGATTTTAGCACTTAAAATTATGGCTGAAATGACCCCACAGCACTTCTGGAAGATGGCAGAATTCTGGGTGGTCTTTTAGCTTAGGCAGATTTTCTGTTCTTTTCTAATGCACCTCTGCATGTTGGCTAATTATAAAAGGGAACCAAGATATTCTCTTTGAAAAACTGGAGCTGGTTGGAAAAAGTTTCTCCTCTAACACATTCATTCAGCCAGCAGCTATGGCACTTCTACTGTGTGCTGTGCAAAGATGAAGTCCTGGTTCTTCAGTGGCTGGAAGTCAAGGGGAGGTACGATAAAGTGAACAAGGGCTCTTAGGTGGCCTGCTGCATCTTGAAGGACAGGTAGTACTAGGTGAAAAATAGTGGGTAGGGTGGGGTTTTTTTGTTTTAAAAAAAAAAGACTCCCATTTTTAAAGTCTTTTATTGAATTTGTTACAATATTGTTTCTATTTTCTATTTTATGTTTTTTGCTTTTTTGGCTGCAAGGCATGTGGGATCTCAGGTCCCTGACCAGAAATCAAACCTACACACCCTGCATTGGAATGCAAGTCAACCACTGGGCCATCAGGGAAGTCCTTAGACTTTATTGTTTAGAGCAGTTTTCAGTTCACAGCAAAATGAGCATAAGGTACAGAGATTTCCAATATGCCCCCTGTCCCCACATACATAAACCTTGCCTGTTATCAGTATTTCCCACCAGAAGTACTGCATCTATTACAATCCATGAACCTACATTAATGCTTTCAAACTGTGGTGGTAGAGAAGAGTCTTGAGAGTCCCTTGGACAGCAAAGAGATCAAACCAGTCAATCATAAAGGAAATCAACCCTGAATATTCACTGGAAGGACTGATGCTGAAGGTGAAGCTCCAATACTTTGGAAAACATCCTGATGCTGGGAAAGATTGAGGAGGGTAGAAGGAGAAGCAGGCAACAGAGAATGAGATGGTTGGATAGCATCACCTATTCAATGGACATAAACTTGGGCAAACTCCAGGAGATAGGGAGGGAAGCCTGGTGTGTGCAGTCCATGTGGGTGCAAAGAGTTGGATATGACTTAGCGACTGAACAACAAGGCCAACGTGAACCTACACTGACACATCATTGTCACCCAATGTCCACAGTTTACATTAGGGCTCACATTAGGGCTGTTGTATATTCTGTGGGGTTAGATGAATGTATAATGACATGCACTCATCATTCTAGTGTAATACAAGGTAATTCCACTGCCCTAAAAATGCCCTGTGCTTTGCCTGTTCATCCCTTCCCTCTGCCCCCACATCCAGCACCTGGAAGCCAGTGATCCTTTCACTGCTTTCACAGTTTTGTGTTTTCCAGGATGTCATATATAGTTGGAATCATGCAATATGTAGTCTTCAGGATGGCTTCTTTCACTTAGCAATATGCATTTAAAGTTCCTCTGGGTCTTTTCACAGCCTCATAACTCATTTCTTTTTGGCACTCAATAATATTTTATTATTTGAATATGCCACAACTTATTTATCCATTCACCTAATGAACATCTTGGTTGTTTCCCAGTTTGGCAGCAATAGGTATTTTAATAAGATAGACTAGAACTTGCAAAGGCACAAAGTGATGAGAGCAAGGTCCTTTGAGAACCTGTGAGTGGCATACAGAGTGGTGTGTGGATGCTGACAGAGAAGAATCATCCTTCATTCTGGAGGCTCATTCCAAAACCACAGTGTGGATCCTATTACTCTGGTGATACTTCTCTCATTATACTGTGTCACCTTGTATGTCTTGCCCGGAGATAGATATGTAATATCCTACATATGATTCACTAACTTATCTGGTTAATTTTATAATCCTACTTAAAAGCCCTTCTATTAGGATGACTTTAAGTTATGGATTATGTTATAAAAATCAAGTCAAGGGAAACAGTAGCTTGTGGGTTTGAGTACAGTTTGGCCTTCTTATGACTCAAAGAATTAATGTGGTTTTGGTTTCTGGTGACTGTTCCACTGCACATTTTGGACAGGAGCCCAGCTTTGCAGATTGGCAGTGGTGGTGGTAATCTGTCCAATTTAGCTGAATGCTGATGAGCCACCCTTTATTTAGAAATAAACTAAATAATAAGCAAGTCACTCTGAAAGCATAGTCTACAGCCTCATTAACAGGAAAACAATGATTATTCCTGTTCAATACTTTATGAACTAAGTGAGATTTACATGATAGATGTAATTTTGCCTTTAGCATGTCTATGATCAATAAGATCAATATTTCACTTGAAGAATCTAAAGGTAGCTGTTTTTCTCCCTGGCAGACTTTATTTTGTCTCTTAATGTAACAAACATTAGTTTATCTTGTAATATTCTCTCTCAAACACACTTCATTTATTGGTACCCTCCATCAGTGATGGTGTTTCTGAGGCAGTCAGGTCCTCATAAGCTTGGAGAGCATTTTGTTTCATTTGCGAAAACACTTTGATCCAGGGGGGAAGTG